GAATTCTGAGGACATTTGGGTATAGTTGATGTGAAGGAGATTTAAATTTACAGTGGTGAGACAGATTTGTGGTAGTTACAAGGAAATTTGCATATTTAAGTCACTAATATCCTGGGAATGTGGTAGAAAAAAGTATGCTGCCCATATATTAGGATTGATTTGTAAAATACTGGTTTTTGAAATTTGTGTATGAGATTTAACATCGCTAAGTCAGTAGACGGATGGGGAGAATAGAAAGAACTTGCTCCCTTTTTCAGAAGTCTTGTTTAAGTAACCTCACCTCTTGAGAATCTTTACTTTGAATAAGAACAGCATTCACATGCAGATTATATACTGCTAAATCTTGTATTTGCTTATGGGAATTATTCTCTCTTTGTTCTGCAAAGGATGGCTTGACTGGAGCCTACTCTGGAGCCAAGACTTTTCCTTAATCTCCGGGGAATTCTAAACAGTTTGATTTTTAAGTGTTTAATAAATACCTGTTGAATGAATGATAGAAAGTAGTGTTCACTGTCAGTGATAATAGTGGGACTGTGTCAAATTGCTGAGTACCATGGGAGTCTGTAGACAAAAATATGTGTGTGTGTGTGTGTGTGTGTGTGTTTGAGAGAGAGTGATGGACAAAAGGGATATCTGACTGGTGAAGCCTTTGGATTTAAGGGAAGAAGACAGAATGGATTAGAATGGGATTGGAACAGTCTTGCTAAAGCATTGAAGCGGTGGGACCTTCTCTTCTAATCTGAGGCTAGTTTAAGATGAGTATATTATTATTATTGTTATTATTATTATTTTAGAGCATGAGCAAGGAAGGGGTTGTGGGGGAGGAGGGACAGAGGGAGAGGGAGAGAGATAATCTTAAGCAGGCCTCATGTGGGGCTCGATCTCATAACCCTGAGATCATGACTGGAGCCGAAATCAAGAGTTGGACACTTAACTGACTGAGCCACCTAGGTGCCCAAATCTGAGTAAATTTTAAGTCTGGATTTGGAGTTGGTGGCTGGTTTAATTTGCATTTTCTTACCTAAATGACTGCTTAGAGATTTTTAGCTGTTTTAAGAATCTGTCTGATTTAATTTGTTTTTGTCATGATAGTAAAAAAGTGTTAGGTGAAATTTATTTTCTCAAGGAATTTATAGTATTTATATTTTTTTAGGAGGAGAAGGACATTTATGAAGTAATTTAGTAACAGTGTAGGATTTCAGAAAGTTGATTTTGTAAAACAGGTAGCAAAAATATACCTCCAAACGAGAATTTTTGTATTTTGGTAGTCATTTTCAGTAGTAGCATTCAGAACTTTTTTGGATCACCTTTTCTGAATTCCATTCTGAGCCTCCAGCACATTCTATACAATTTTTCTATTTACTAAGTACCTATTGTGTGCGTTGGGGGGTCTGGGTTGTAAAGGTGGTTTAAACGTGGTCACCATCCTCAGAGCACATAGTCCCTTCAGGATGGCAGTTACAAATAGTACAAGGCATAATGTTATTCTGAATAGTCTCATTGGTGACAAAGCTTTTTAGTTTGAAAGATTTGATTTTTAGAAATGCTGAAGATCCGTCAGATCCGACAAGAGCAAATAGAGTGAATAAAGAATAATTTTGGTTTAAATTCACTTAGTCATAGAAATAGGAATGGCTTTCTTGGTTGACTTATTAACTGACTTTGGAAAACACTCCCTGTGATGAAGTTGGAAATATGTTGAATAATGATGATAGCTTCACTTGTATGTAGTCAAACACTAGGTAAGTGTTGGTTAAGTGCATCAGATGGATGGATGGATGCAGTGAATAAATGGGTGAGTGGTAGCCTCCCAAGGTAACTATTTTAAAGAGGGCCTCACTGATTTTAATCAACTGAGCCACCTAGGTGCCCTTAGGACCTCACTGATTTTAAGATGTAAATAAATTCTAGGTATATTTGTTAACAAACACTTTAATTACTGTGAACAAGACCGTTTATGATTAAGATCCCAAATGAGTTCTATGGACAGTAAATGCTGTAGGAGTTCAGGGAGTGGAGAAATGAATATTGGCTAAGGTTAGGGGAAAGGATTTAAGTGTACCATACTTTAGCTAGATATTTGAAAGGATTCCTTAGGGATCTCAGGAGAGGAACTAAAGTGCTCCAAATTTCTCTTGCAGCCCTAGAATGAACCTAGAGTCTGGATCTATTTTTGTCTGAATGCTTTCTGCCTATTTCATTTTAGCTACTCCTACTGGTTTGTTCTTCTTCAAATTCTCCTTTGCTGGGTAGATTCTGAGCTCCCTGGAACAAGGAGGGGGGGGTGTCTGTTTCCATCTATGTCTAGTGTAACTTTTAGTTTTTCCTTTTATGAGCCTGTACCCCACAAATTACTTGGTCTCTGTGAGTGAAGAGCATGAGTCAACTTGGCTCTGCTATCCTGGCATTTTCCTGTGTGCTTTTCTCAAAGCTGCTTTCTGAATTACAGAATAGAATAGTCAGAAAATTGAGGGCATATGTCTAGTAGACACATGCTTGTTGAATAAATGAATGAATGAAAGTATCAGATAATTTAGAAGCTCTAAATGGTCTATATGTTTCTGATTGTTTCAGTTTATTCATAACCTGCCTTTTTTTCTGCAAAGGATTTATTGGGGCTGACAAATACGTATACTGTAATATGAATTGAAATATTTGAGGAAGTCTAGTTAAAGAGAAAATGAAAGAAAAATCTGTTTAAAGAATATAAAATCTATTATTATGATTGCTAGAGAAGTAGGAATAAAGTGGAAGATAACCAGATGGAGAAGGAAAGGTGTTATCCCACAGAAAGTATGATTCTGAAAGAAGAAAAAGATTATTGATACATGATAGGTTATGTTTAGCAGAAAGCAAGAAAATATTGAAGGTTTAAAGGATTATTTGAAATGGTTATTTTGGGGAGGAAGATAGTAAGACAATTTGAAGCATAATAGTAAATCAAAATTTAGAATGTAGTAGAAATTGTTTATGATGTGAATTTATAGCAGTTTTCAGAAAATGATGGGGTGAGTTTAGGCAACAGATAATGAACATTTGTTGTATGTAAAAGCATTGTTAGATGTAGTTAGGAATAAATCCTTTGGGATTTATATTCTAGTAGTGAAGCTGGACTTGTGCACAAATAACTACCCTATATTCAGCATATCTTAAGAAGTATGGAATGTTACTGAAGTTAAAAGTTAGGGAAAGACATTTGACTAGAGGGAAACCTGGGACTACATTTTTAATGGCATACAAGTGGCTTTTTAGCTAGTCTTTGAAAGGATGGATAGGATTCTTACTGGTAGGAATTATTGGAAAGAGAGCCTTCCAATCTGAGGGATTAGCAAAAGCAAAGACTTGAAGGTGAGAAGCCAAAGACATGTGGGGAATAGTGAGTTAGTGTTTAAAAAAAAATTTTTTTTTTTTTTACTGTGATCCACAGTAAGAAATACATGTCATATGTTCAGCTACTATATGATTTGAATGTTTGTGTGTAAGTATAAAACGAAATGCTTCAGTAGCCATATCCCTTACTATGTTGGATGTACTCAAAACGTTTTCCATTCTCTTCCATTTGGCGAAAAAAAGATAGCTGTCACTCACAAACTGATTTCATGACTAACTAAATAATTGATCACAGCTTGTAGTTTGGTACACAGAGAGTTCATGAATAGGGCATAATATGATAAAGGGTAGGAATAGTCAGTGGGGTTGGGTGGAAAATGGATGGCCTTGAAAGCTAAGCTAAGTAGTTTGTGTTTGATATGATGTAGTGTGCTTAGTAAGCAAACAAAAGCTGGGGTTTAGTCTTGGCCCTTCCGTTTTACATGTGCTGTGATTCTGGAGAGAATTGCTTCCTTCCTGAGACTCTTATTTTCTCTTCAAGAAATTGATAACTATTGGGGCGCCTGGGTGGCTCAGTTTGTTAAGCGTCTGCCTTTGGCTCAGGGCATGATCCTGGGGTCCTGGGATAGAGCCCTGCATCAGGCTCCCTGCTGGGCGGGAAGCCTGCTTCTCCTTCTCTCAACCTCTCTCAGTCCCCACAACATATGTGTTCCCTCTCTCGGGCTGTCTTTCTCTGTCAAATATATAAACTCTTAAAAAAAAAGAAATTGATAATTTATTGGGATACATGGGTGTCTCAGCCAGTTAAACCTCTGCCTTAAGCTCAGGTCATGATCCTGGGGTCCTGGGATCAAACCCTGAATTGGGCTCCGTGCTCAACCAGGGAGCCTGCTTCTCCCTGCTTGTGCTCTCTCACTCTCTCTCTGACAAGTAAATAAATAAAATCTTAAAAAAAAAGAAAAAAGAAATTGGTAATTATTATACCTTCTGGCAAGGGCTGCGGCGAGGATTTGAGGATTAAAGTATGTTAACATAGGATTAAAGTATGTTCACACATCATAATATGTAGTTACTCAACTTTTTTGAGTAGAGAATGGAATAAAGGCCTGTATATTAAATATCTTAATCTGATGATAGCTATACTGTACAGAGTAGATTGGCGCCAGTGTGTTGGTAGTTACTCCATTGGGGGGTAGTTACTCCATTGGGGTAGTCACCCCATTGGGGGGTGACAGGCCCAGTTAGGATGCTACTGGAGAAACTTAAGGACTTGAATTGGCTTGATAGCAGGATTAGAAATGAGGGGGGAGAATGCGATTGGATGGCAAGAGGAGGGGAGGATGACTGGAAATTTAGAGCTGTGGTAAAATTCAAAAGGCAGCAACTGAAACTGGAATACATGTTGGGGTAGTTTAGTGGGGTACATTAGGTTAAGTAGTTGCAGTTTCTTGCAGATAGTAGGTCCTCAGTTTTTTTAGTGAGTGATTAAATATGTAAATTGAATGAATTGCAAGTAGAGACAGTAATGGATAGGTTTGAGAAGGAGGGGTGGCATTGAAGGGTGCTTTTGAGGGACTGCAAGCATTTCTTCGGGGAGTATTTTTGTATACTACTGTGTGTAATGTTTCATGGTAGGCAGTGTGAAGGATACATGTTTATGTATGACATAGTTCATTTTTTTTTAGGAGTTTATCAAGGGACAAAAATGTGTATGCATCTGTCTATGACAGAAGTACTATGGCAGATTCAACTTTGTAGAGAAGTTGGTGTGTAGCTTAGGCCTTGAAGGATGAATAGGATTATAGTAGGCAAATGGTGAGGGTTAGTATTCCAAAAAGAAGGGAGTATGATATGAATGACAGAAAAGTTGTGGATGTGTTTAGGGGTTGGTAGTCTAGATTAGCTGGAATTTAGGGTTCATATTTTGAATGGAGGGAAATAAGGCTGTGAAGTAGAGGAAACATCTAAAAATCTAGACTAAATGGGTTTTTAAATATTGATTGATTCAACTTTACGTACATAAAGTGCTCAAATCTTAAGGTCACAGATCAGTGAATTTTTGAAGATAGACATTTTATGTAACCACCATCCAGTTCAACATTTTCAACATGCCAGGAGACTCCCTAATTTGTCACCTTCAAGTTGATGTCCCGTTCACTGAAAAGTAAGTACAGTGACTCTTGAACAACATGGGTGTGAATTGCACAGCTCTACTTACAAGTATAATTCTTTTTGATAATTACGGGTTAGTACTGTGTTTTCTTTATGATTTTCTTAATAACATTTTCCTTTCTCTAGCCTACTTTATTGTAAGAATGCGGTATATATGACATATGACATACAAAATGCATGTTAATCTACAGTTTGTAATTGGTAAGCCTTCTGGTCAACAGTAGGCTGTTGGTAAAGTTTCTGGGAGTCAAAAGTTATACCTCGATTTTCGACCACTGTGGGGAGAGGTTGACTCTGCAACCTCTGCATTGTTCAAGGGTCAGCTGTACTATTCTGATCTCTCTTATGGCAGAGTAGTTTTATGTTTTTGAGTTTCTTATTAGTGGAATCATACATCTGTGTCCGGCTTCTTAAGCTCACCATGTCTGTGAGATTCATCTGTGATGCATATAGCAGTAGTTCATTCTTTTTCACTTCTCTTTGGGATTCCATTATGAACATATCCCAGTGTATTTGTTCATTTCACAATTGTTGGGCTATTGGCTAGTTTCTGTTTTTTGGAAGTCTAAGGACTTTTAACTTGACTCAGTGTATAGTGGGGAACCACTGATAAGTTTTGAGTGGGGAAATGAGGTGATTTAAGAATACATATGTGGTGACCTGTTTTTGTTATGTTTTGTTTTTGCAATGAAGAGAACCTAGTGACTAGGAGACAAGTCAGAAAGCTATAACAAAAGTGTGAAGTGTTGAGAACCTAAGTTGCTGTGGTGGTAACGGGAATAAAAGAAAGCAGATATATAGAAGAAAGAATTGAGGGATTTGATGGCAAATGGCTTTTGGGAAACTGGAGGAAAAGAGAAAAAAGGGAAACTCTGGGGCTTTTCTTGGGTAACTTGAGAATGGTAGTGCCATTAAAAATTATTGGATCAGTTAGCAGAACTATTTTGGTGGGGAAGAATACTTACTTCGGTTTTAAGACACATGACCAGTGTGTGGGGCACCAATGGTAGTAGGCAAGGGGAATTATTTAGCTAGAGTTAGAAATACTGAATTCAGCTGAGGAAGGAGGTCTAACAGAGATTTGGGAATATGTACCTAGAGTTGATAATTGAAGCTACTAATTCTGGATTTGGTATGGTGCTAATGGCAATGAAATTATTTGGACTGATAATTGAAGTATTAATTGAAGCAATAATTGAAGAATATAGGTGAAAAGAAATCATTATATATTCTAGTTCCTAAGGAATAAATTAGATTGTAGCAGTGGGGGATGGCTTAAAGATTGTTTTTGGGAGCTGAGGGTAGCTGAGGAATGAAAATATAGAAGCAATGTTAAAGGATGAAATTCCAAAGGGGAGAGAATTAGAGAAAGACTGAACTTGGGAAAATACCCACTATTTGGGCTAAGATGAGGACCATTACTTGTTGGAGATAGAAGCAGCAACTAGAGAGACCACAGTAGAATCCTGTGGTACAGTGACATAAACTCTCAGTGGTAGTTCAAGTATCATTGCCAAAGAGGGGATAAGGACTTGGATGGTAGGTCATAGGATTTGGTACATAAAATTTTTTTTTGGTCTTCAGGAGAGCAGATCAGAGAGCACAGTGCATGGGAGTAAAGGACTGAGTGGGTTGGGAGAATATGGAAACATTGAATGTAGGAATTGTATTAAGTTTATTTTAAGAAGGAGGAACAGCTCTTTTTCCAAAACTGGAGGCAAGAAGTAACAGATGGATGAAGATACAGCATTTTAGAAGCTGTAAAGAGGATTTGATTACAGGTGGAGAAGGTGTGATTTGAAGGAGTTTTATGGGAAAGATTGATTTTTGATGGGATTAAAGATTTAAAAATGAAAATGACTAGGGTTAGTCAGTGAGACAGAGAATTGTATTTAGAATAAATCAGTTGTGGAAGACTCCATAGCTTTCTGGTGGTACTTAACATCCAGTGTGTGGGTGTGAAGAAAACAGATGGTGAAGATTGTCTGTCATTGGGGAGGTGCATGGTAAATATAATGGAAGGTCATGATATTCTGGAGAGGGCAATATTAATGGCTGATGGACAGATTTAAATTTTGCGGGGAGACTAGGGAAGCCAAAAGGAGGTAAAGAGCAGGCATAGAACGATAAAGTAGTTGTGGTTAAAAAAAAAAAAAGAAAAAAGGAGGTCTCTGAAGTTAGAATCCTAATGGTACAGCACTTCCAATTGGTGACCTACTTTCATTATATATGTGTGGGTGGCTGAAGTGCAGCTGAAGGCTTTAGGAGTTGAGGAAGGTCAGGGTGTAGAAGGTACTTCAGCATCATTGTTCAAGTTACCGAGAATAATGGCTGACTGTGGTACAAAGAATTGAAGTCTTTGGGAAGGAAGAGGGGAGGGTATTTTGGAACTTGGTGGATGTTGTAGATGGAATGGTTTAAGTGAGTAATGTAAATTGCAAAGAGTTTTTTTAGTAATAGGAGTCGCCCTTTGGAGCAAGCAATTGGTCCTTTTAGCAAGCTGAAGGAGTAGGAGAATGGATAGCTAAGTTATGAGAGAATTAGGTTGTCCGAAAAGAGCCAAGCTTGAGAAAAGATGAAGGGGCAGTCACAACAATCCAGGCAAGAGATGATAGTATCTGATTTATGGTGTGCGATGGAGATAAACAATTTTGTTACATTTACCTGTTCTTTAAAGTTCTTTATAAGTTATACTTGCAAAATCCTAGCCATTCATATGCAAGGACAAAAAAGGTAGAGGTATACTAATATGAAAGGCAAAGGACACAGGGTATTTTGTTGACAGAAGAATGTTAATTTAATAAGCTGATAGAAGCTAGTAAAAGCGTAGAACAGAAATGAATGAAGAGGTTGGGGTTGACCTGAATAGGAATGCAAGTAAGGAGAAGAGGAGAGTCAAGTAACTTGTAGCAGAGAAAATACTGGGAAAACATAATGCTATCTAGGAAATAACTAATGCCAGGAGCCTATTCCTTCTCTGTGCACATAAGGACAGTCCTTGCCACCCATGATGTTATAAAAATGGTGCATCATGCAATAAGTATTGAAAAAAAATAGCATAATAGAGATACTAACATCTTCTGACCTCTACATGAGTTCCTCAAAACCACATCAGTGTGTAGTGGTAATTTGTATACATTAAACAAACAAACAAACTAGTGACATATATATACATAAAGAGGTTCAGGTAAAAAGTGGGAAGAATGGGATGGATGATAGGAAGGAGATGTCCTGAGGAATCTGAAATGGCCTCTGTAGTTTTTTCTTTTTTCTCTATAATGGCTTTTATTTAATATATTTCTTAGTGTTCTTAGGAGGCTGGTTGTTGTGTTTTCTCATTTCACTTAATACGTACATAGAGGTAAGTCCCAGATGCACAGTTCTAAATATGCTTTCTTGTCTTGTTTTAGTTATCATTTATTGAATGTGTCCAAAGGAGCTGTATTGCCAGTTTCAAAAACTAAATATAGTTAAACTATTTTGTTTTGATTTTTTTTTTAAATCTCAGTGCTTGAAACCATCATCATCTTCCATTGATGATATTTAAGATCTAGACCAGGCCCTTTATTCTTTGGCTTTGTCTTTGCTCTTAAACTTTTGTTTTTCTAGTTTGCAGTAGTATTCTATTTTGTCAGTCTTTGTTGTCTATCAGCCTTTCCCTTGTACTATCAAAGGTTTGACTCTCAGTGCTTACCTGACTGGTTTTTGAGAGTCTCCATCAGTGCCTTGCTGTGGTCTCTGCCAAGTGCAGGTTTACTTCCAGAATCTAACCCCAGGTCATTTGTCACTTCCCCCTGCCCCCTTCTGCATTAAGTCAGTCTCGAAATTTAATAATGAAGGACCTGTGAAGTCCCAGAGCTTTGAAAAGCCTAAGAGGGCCCAGGGAGGTCACTTTGCCAATCTCACATCTTTGCTGTAGCCTGCTTGATTTGGTCTAGAGTTGTTTCCAGGACCCGCCGGCATGCCTTATTTGAGTGGGTTGTGTGCGGTAGATGAACGATGGATCTTATGGAAGCTGTTGGGTCTGATTGTAGTGGAAATGGAGAGAGAATGTTTTAATGGTAATTATATTAATTTAAAAGATAAGTGACTTCACAAGATAGGGGTTGGATGCCTGAAAATCTTGGTTGGCATCAAGGACTTTTCCTTTTAAATTTGAGAAGAGCCAGTATCTGGGGGATTAGAATGAAATACACAACCTGATGTTTTGTAGGGTCCTATATATGTGCATTTGTCAACACATGCACACCTGCATGTGTAGATACATTTAATGATAGACATAACTGTGTTAATTCCATTAAGTTCTATAATTAGAATCTTTGGGGAAATGGGCATGGTAGTCTTAAGAGTGAGTCCAGTGAATTGGTAGAGGATGTTTTGGAAAGATCATTGTCAAGTTACTGGGGATGTGCTTGGGAAATGGATATTTTTAGTGACTGTGATGGCTTCTCTGGAATTGGTTCACAAAATTTGAGGGCAGTTTGGGGCAAATCTGTGTAAGTTGGAGAGCGTTCTTTTGGAGGGAATGAGGGAACACACAAAATGCAGTTTCAGAAAGTTGTGAGTTGATTTGGTGGGAGCTGGTACACATTCTGAAAGTTAATTTGTGGAGAGGTTTTGAGTATGTAAGCGGGAGATGTAATGGAAGGAAGTTATAAGGACGCATGTTTGTACTAGAAAAGTAAGTTTCAAGATTGGAGAGATGGTTTAGGGAAGATTATTTTTGGGGGTAAATACAGCTCTTAGGGTAGAAGCAGGAAGGTAAAGGAAGACTAAAAGGAGTAAGGTGTGGAGAATCAAGTAAGCCGAAGGGTTAAGGAGGAGGTTACAGAAAAAGAATTTTATCGTGAGGAGTGCTGTGTTGGGTACTACTTTTGATGAGTGGTCAGTAAGGGAGGGGGCTTAAACGTCCCTTGGTTTGTGGGGGTGGGGATATCAGCGTAAGAGTTAGGTTTCTTGAGAAGCCAGGGCAGTCGCGAGCTGGCTTTCGCC